AGGTAAAAATCATATATAAAATTCTTTGCAGATCCTACTATAAAAGGAAATTTTATGTTACATTGTTATGATTTTTTTCCTTTTTAACTAATTAACCAATAGAATTTAAGAAAAAAGTAAGGTAAATACTATTAGTAAAGGGCTAATTTTCTACAGTAATCTTTATTATAAATAAGCAGAGTTCTGTCACTTTACGCAAATAATAATTCAGAAATATCAAAGTATAATAAAGAAGAACTATTAAAAATACTAAAAAATAGAAAGTACTATTCACTAGAAATAAGTGAATCAGACGATGATTCTAATATTCTATTAATCAAAATAAATGTATTATTTGCGTATACGATTTGTCTTGACGTTCAGATGAGGTTCGATGCCAATTTTTTTTTATTTTTATAGAAATTTTATACTTATATTAATTATTATTTATTTTAGCTAAAAACGCTACTTTGAGATATCTTTAATTCTCATTCATTCACAATACAAATCACTCATTTGATCAAAGAATGCAATTATGATGACGAATTGCAATCTTATAACCACCCCTATCCTTTAAATGCTTTTGAATGGTTTTACATAAAACAAATTAACCAAGTTTATGACACAGAAATTGAAGGTAAATTTTATCATCATATGTCAAATTATTAAACAGATGTAAATTTAGGTAGTAAAACAGGACTCCGCTTATTTATAATAAAGGTCACTGTAGAAAATTGGCCTTTTACTAATAGTTTTTACCTTAATTTTTTCTTAAATTCTATTGGTTAATTAGCTAAAAAGGAAAAAATCATAACAATATAACATAAAATTTCCTTTTATAGTAGGATTTGCAAAGAATTTTATATATAATTTTTACCTTAGGCCTGGGGGCGACCTATCTTATAAGTAAGCGGGGTCCTAATAAAACACCAGTTTACAGCGATAATGAAAATTCAATTGTGATAATATGCCAGTTTACAGCAATAATGAAGATTTGATTATGTATAACACCGATGAAGAATATGCTTATGGCAAATCTTCAACTACTGAGATGATTCGTGAAACTATTTTAGAAGCCAATTCGCAACAAAAAGACAAAAATAAGAAAATTAAGTAAAACCACCAATATCTTTTGGATGCAATTTGGTTTTTTTTTACTAATTTTATATTACTTTATTATCTTAGAGACAATTTTAATTGAAATTTAGAAAATTACAAATTTGTTCCTTTTTTTCTTCTAAAATCTAAATAAAAATTCATCTATTTAGTAATAAATAATTTATTTATATAATTAACGATTATTGCTAACTAAAACTTCAGAATATTTATTTGTGGTTTTTTTTCTTAACAAAGTTTCTCTTTTTTTAAACAGTTTATTTTGAATATGAGATTTCAGAGATTTTTTTTCTATTTTAATTTTTTATTTCAAACAAACTGTTATTAACAGTTCTTTTTATAAGCTTTTTTTTTCTTATTTAAAGAATTCAAAATAGATTTACCGATTTACAATCTATATTTAAAAATTAAACTTTTAATATATAAGTCTAAATTTAGGTAAATTTTTTTCCTTATTTAAAATCGACTCAGACTTTCTATTAACTTTGGACTGGAATTTTTTTTTCTTCTTTTTGCAGTTTTTATAAACCATTAAAAAAAAAAATCTTTTTTTTTTAAAATTTTTTTTTAGAAACATATTGACTTTAGTCAGGACTTCGCTTATTTATAATAAAGGTCACTATAGAAAATTGGTTCTTTACTAATAATTTTTACTTTACTTTTTTCTTAAATTCTATTAATTAATTAGCTAAAAAGGAAAAAAATTATAACAATGTAACATAAAATTTCCTTTTATAGTAGGATTTGCAAAGAATTTTATATATGATTTTTACCTTAGGCCTGGGGTGACTTATCTTATAAGTATGGTCCTCTTTAGCCTTTTAGATATCAGACTTTGAAATTGTATAATGGGAGGAGTGGCTTTATTTTTGAGTTAGAACATAATTAATGTTCTCTTTTTTTGGAACGTGTTCTGAACTTGAACTTTAGCTTTTTGGATACTGCAGTCTTTTTAATATCGAACTTTAATCTTTTGGCTTTATTTTGGCTTTGAAAGGTGAGTGTTTTTTTTTTTAAAAAAAAAGTTACTTTATAGAAACGTTTTACTACTTTTTTTTTGTAAGAATTTTCAGCTAAAACAAACTAGACTTTAAGGTAAAAGTTGATTTTTTTTTATTTTTCTTTAATTTAAGAAACATTTTAACATTTCTTTTCGTTATTTTTTTTGTAGGATCATTAGGGTGCCAGATTGGATATGAAATCAGGCTTTAAGATAAAAAAACAGGAAATGTGAGGTATTTTTAATTATAATTAATTAAAAAAGTTCTTTTACATTATTTTGCAGGAAATACATATGATTGGCCAAAAGCAGTTTTGAACGTCAAAATATTTTTGATGTTTCATCTATAGATTAGTTTCAAACGAAACTCAATTTTTTGACCAAAATTTTATCATATTATTAACTTTCACTTATAAAAAATGATTGTTATGCTATTAAAATTCTCTTTCTTTAACTTAATTTTACTGCATAAAACCCTTAATTCAAGAAATTATTAAAAATTGAAATCATAAGGTTATTTTTAAAATTCCATTGTGAATTAAATTTATTGAGCAATTTTGGGATGTAGTAAAACAATTTACATGAAATAATTGTGATTATATTTTAAAAATTAGAGAAAACAGTTTTTGATGATATTTTAAATTCAGTATTCCTAATATAAATTTGAAAATATGCTAGGTGGAGTTAAAAATTTATGGATGCATATAAAAATGGATTGAAGGAAATAGAAGTTTTATATGCAGTTAAAAAATATATATCTTACAGATATATTCCAAATAATGTAATTAACGTATATATAACAATATTAAATAAATTGATAATATATAAGTTATGTACATAATTTATATATCATATCACATAATATTTATATAGTTAAAATTTGGCCACTTTTTTGCCTATTATCTGGCTTTAGATAATGCATACTATATATTATATATATGGTATTTATGAAAAAATGTAATTAAAAATTTAAGTAGTATATTAAAAGTATGTCAGATCTGAGTTTTTTTAGTAATTTTCAGAATCCTATCAGACTTGATATAAAATCAATTTAATTTGATTTGATTTTATTTAATACTTTTTTTAAATTAATTTATATTGAGTTTAAAAAAATTAATTTGATTTGATAACTTGACTTGATTTTTTCAAATTGAGTTCAAAACTTCAAATTTATTTTAAAATTAATTTAACTTGGATATTTTATAATATAATGAGTAGATTACTATAAATTAATAATATTAGTTGGTAGCATTTATTTTTATGTATTTTTTTTATTAAAAAAAATAAAAAAAATTACCAATTTTCTTTTTGAATAAAAGTCATTTAAGTAATTTTATTAAATGATTTTATTTTATAAAAAATTCAATTTAAGCTTAAAAACAATTACTTAACAAAAAAAATTATTATAATAAAATAATAAAAATATGATTTTATATATAATTTTTTTTATTTTATTTTTTAATTTATTTTAATTTTTCTTTATTTATATTAACTATTATTTTCTAAAAGTTTAACTTAGTAATTATATACTAGTAGTTGCATTTTTACTTAATAAAGTATATTATTAAAATTAAATTGCAAATTAATTTTTAGTTTATAGTTTATATTGCTATAATATTTTATACTTTTATTAGCAAAATAAATTTGTAAATTTCTTTGAATATGATTATTTTATATTGATATGATAATATTTTGTAAAAAGTTTTACTAATGTTATATGCAAGTAAAATATTTAATGCAGGTTTAATATATTTGTATTATTAAAAAATATATTAATAGTTAATATCAGATATACTGATATTTATTTAAATTATTATTTAGAATTTTTAAGGTTTCAAAGATTTTTTTAAAAGTAAAGAGAATCTAGATGTTTTTTTTGATATAAATTATATTATTTATTACTATTTTCTTAATTAAATCTTATAATATAGATAATATAGATAGATTTTTTTTTTTAAAAAAAAAAAATTATAATCTAAAAATAAAAATATGCGACAAATAAATTTTATACTATTATAGTATCACCACAGTTATCTGCAGTTTATAAAACTTCATTACTCCCTGTAGGATGATAGGTGTTGCTGTGCCCAAAAGATTTTTGAGTACACTTTAATGACAAAATAGATTAATATATATAAAAAAAAGACGCCATAAATCCGTGTTATTTCCCCTCTTTTTTTTTTGTTTTATAATTAGAAAAACTCTTGCCTCTTTCCGAAATCTTTATTAGGCCTTCGCTCCTTCTTTTGCAAATTTAAAGTCGGGTTGATTTTAATCTTTAGAGTTACCTAATAACTTAAGACTTACTTAGGTATTGACAGGAAACATAAACCAATTTACACTTGAGACATTTTTTGTTATCAGTGAGTAAAAAAAACTAAATCTATGGCAGCGAATCATCACCACCATATGTCAAATAGTATGGCTAATAGTTCACATAGTCTACACTCGTCAAATGTTGTGGGTGTGCACTATAGAGTTGGAAAAAAAATCGGAGAGGGGAGCTTTGGTGTCATCTTTGAAGGTAATTTTTTTTTTTTTTAGAGATTTTGAGATTTTTCAATAGTATTGTCTCGGCCATTTTCTTTAATGTATTTTCTTCGGAGCTTGGATGCCCTTATAGGGAGAACCTTTATTAATATTGAAAGCTCCAAATAGTTCCTAAATAAAATAATGCCGGGAATTCTTTTTATTTGAAAAATATAGTTTTGGAAAATCTATTAGTATTTTGTTCAATTGAATACAAGCAATGAAATTGTAATGAAGAAATGAATAATAATATCGTCATTTATAAATATTATCCGTTTGATCAATCTTCCCATTTTTTCAAACCAATAAATAAAAATTATTGTAAACCTTATTTTACTTATCATTATATTATATTATTATTCTTACTTATTTTGTTCATTTTATTATTCAGGAACAAATTTGTTAAATAACCAACAAGTTGCCATAAAATTCGTAAGTTATACAAAAATGCTTTTTATATTCAACTATAATTGAATGGAAAGTAATTTATTGATTAGATTTCAAATTAATCTTATTCAGGAACCACGAAAAAGTGATGCACCTCAACTTCGAGATGAATATCGTACATACAAAATTTTAGCTGGATCAGGTATACATTGCACTTCCTACAATTGGTTTTTTTTTTGTTGAATGAATATTAGAGAATTTTTTATTAATATTATAAAATTACCCTCTACAAAGCGGGTATACCCAGCGTATATTATTTTGGTCAAGAGGGTTTACATAATATACTGGTAATTGACCTTCTTGGGCCTAGTCTGGAAGATTTATTTGATATGTGTGGTAGAAAATTCAGTACTAAGACAGTTGTAATGGTAGCCAAGCAAATGGTACGTAAATGAATTATTTATTATTATATTTAAGCAGATACATTATTACTACTATTATTATTTATCATTGTCTATAAATATTTATTATTAGCTCACACGAGTGCAAACCATTCACGAAAAGAATCTTATCTACCGAGATATTAAACCTGATAATTTTTTGATTGGTCGTCCAGGAACGAAAAGTGCAAATATAGTTCACGTTGTCGACTTCGGTATGGCAAAGCAATATCGTGATCCAAAAACAAAACAACATATTCCATATCGAGAAAGGAAAAGTTTAAGCGGCACAGCTAGATATATGAGTATTAATACGCATTTGGGAAGAGGTAAATATTAAAATCTTGTTTTCATTATTATTTTAAATATTAATTGGTATTTATATGCCAGAACAATCAAGACGGGATGATTTAGAAGCTCTTGGCCACGTCTTTATGTACTTTTTAAGAGGAGGACTACCTTGGCAAGGACTGAAGGCAGCTACCAATAAACAAAAATATGAAAAAATTGGTGAAAAGAAACAATCAACACCGATTAAAGATTTATGTGAAGGTTTTCCAGGTGAATGAAGAACTTTTTCTTGCCATGTTACTATTTTATATATATGTTACTAATCTAAAATTATATATAATTGTAAAATTATTTCATTGTTAGAGGAATTTGGAATTTATCTCAATTATGTTCGTAAATTGGGTTTTGAAGAAAATCCGGATTATGATTTTCTGAGGGAACTTTTTACCAAAGTATTGAAAAATTCGAATGAAGTAGAAGATGGAGTGTACGATTGGATGTTGTTGAACGGTGGTAAAGGTTGGGAAGCAAGCTCGGTAAGAACGATTTTTTATTTCTAGGAATTTCTATTTACTTAAGTATTTCATAATTATTTAAAACTTTTATCGTTGAGATAAATGGATGGGAATGTAGTCCTTCCAGATTTCTTATTATTTGCTTTCCATCATCTTATCGCTTTTTGGTTTGTGCAAACCACACACATCGATAGCGGAAAGATGACAATACACACAAAGTTGAGACTAACACCCGCCTTGCACTTCACGGCACCTCCTCTCAGCAATATAGTTCGAACGCTGGCATTCATCAATCTTCCCATCTTCATCATCATCATGGCTCATCTGATCCACGGCTTGTGCGTTCATCACTCCACCGTGGTCCATCTATGAACCGAAGCCATCAAACCCCACCATCACCTGCCTTGCCTCATCCCAGTACAAAAGCACAGAGAGGGACAGGAAAAAAACATAATAGTACAAATATGCATGCTGGAATAGATGACTTGAATAACCCATACTCAGGCCGTGCCGGTATGAATGGTGGTAATGGCGGAAATAACGCAGGCGTTCAGGGGAACAATGGTGCGGATTCGAATTCCCACAGAAGACGAGGAATTTGGCAAAAATTTATCGGCGTTATTACATGTAGTATGTGTAGCTAAGTTTTTATTATTCATTTTCTTTTTCTTTTAAAAAAAACTTTATTGTACATTTCTGAAGTACGTGTGCGCGTGTGCGCGTATATGTAATTTCATTTTAATAGTCGTGAGAGGAGGAAAATAATTCCGCGGATATTATTTATAATTATTATTAAATTTATATATATCTATGTTCGAATATATAAAAATCGAAGGATTTTCCATATATATTAAGATTTCATATATTTCTTTTCTATAATTGGAAGATAAAATAATTTTGGAGGGTTTTTGGGCGAATTTTTCTACATAACAGAGGCAATTCTTTTTTATGGGAATATAAATAACGTTCCACAAGTAATAACTTTTTAATTATTATGATCATTAGTTCTAATTTCTGTTATCTTTTTTATTCATTTTTGGTATGTTTTCCTCTTGGTCGGCTATATCCATCTAAACTTTAAGGTTGACCTGGAACCGGTTTTACCAAGTTTTTTCAAGGGCAACAAACCAAGAATCAAAAATTTTTAAACAATTTTGCATTTCTGGATCATAATTTCTATTTCTCCTTCGACGTAAAAAACAGAGATTCAATCTTTAATCACCACAAGACATTTTGATCAAATTGTAATATTTCAATATTTTCTCAAAAATACTTTCTTTTATTATAACAGATCCGATTTCAAAAATTGGTAGATTTTTTTAATAATACACTTTCAAACCGTATATATACATACACTGTTTTTTTATAACTATAAAATTTTTCTAGGGTTTTCTGTTAATTATTTTTTTTTTTTTGGGTGGAAAAAAACAAAAAAAAAGCCAAGTAAAAAACTTTATGTATTCTTACTTGATTGTCTTAGTTACTTTATTTGTTTAACTTTGTCTGTGTAATACTTTTTTCTGCAAACTAATAGAATTTTTTAATTTTTTTGGTTTTTTATTTTAATTTTAAATAATAACTTTTTTTTTTTAAAAAAAAATTTTTTTATCGTTAAGTAAAAAAATGCGTTTTCAATCAATCAATAGAGCTTATAGATAGCGGTTATTATTTATAAAAAAATTTGTATACTTCTATTTTTAATAATTTACTTCCTTAGAATAAAACTAAAAAAAAATACACATTTGTGATACCTAGAAGTGTGGTGATACACATTACTTTAAAGTTTAAACATCATGTGATTTTATGATTCATAAACTATAAAAACTCCATTCTTTCTTCCAGCTTACAAATAAAATGAGTACGAGACGAAACAGAGTTCAGGCATCAAAGTTTTTAGGATTTGAAGAGAATAATTTATATTATGATCAATATAACATTGCGGCTGAAACATTTTTCGAGAGTTTTGAGACGGAAGAAAATGAAGAGTCTGATTGTGATTCTTCCTATTCAATAACAGCGGAAAAATTGGAATCCTATTCATCTGATACCTTCGAAAACTCAACTTTGAATTGTACTTCCTCAGCACCTTCGATAACAACAATATCGGATCCCACGGAAGATATCAACATATCTAATTGTCCTATTTGTTTGCAAGTTTATCAAGAGCAATGTTATTTGTATCCTTGTTATCACACTTTCTGTGTCTCTTGCATTCGTCAGTGGCTTTATGTTACACCCGACTGTCCTTTGTGTAAATTCAAAGTTGAATTTTTAATTACTGATGTAGACGATTCAAAAGGGACATTTACCAAGCTTTATATAGATGGTACGATGGAGAATGATAAGAATGATATTAGGAGTAAGATGAAACAACAAAAATGGATCTCAGAGATATCTAATATAACCGAACATAACAGCGATTTAAAATCAATAAGAAATAAAATTTATTCAGAAAACCTTTTTCCAACAAATGTTCCTAATTTAAAAAGTAAAAAGATTTTTACATTTAATAAGTACGATACTGAACGCGTAAGGCCTTTTATAACACGCGATTTAATAGTTTTACTTTCTGACGCTTATGACGTGGTGGTCGATGAATATGTCTTTTCGGTGATATCATCATTTTATAAACAAAAAAAAACAAAAAATGAAATTATTGAAAAGCTAAAACCTTGGTTAGGAAAGTCAACAGAAAAATTTATACATGAAATTACTCAGTTTATAGAGAGTGAATTGAATATTGATACTTGGGACAAATTAGTGAGCTATGCTTAAATAATATCTTCATTGTCTATAGAGGAATTCATAGCGTCTTCCTTTCCTTTTTTTTCATCCACAAACCACAAAATGGGTATTGATAAAAAAATAAGTACAAATAATAATAAAAATCCATATCTAATTTCACCTGTAACATCAACTATTATAGCTATTAAAGATGGTCCAAACCAACTTGATCCTTTATCAGTTATAGCATAAAGTGCAAAAAATTCAGTTTCTCTTCCACGTGGAACTAATTCTGCAAACATTGTCCTACAATAACTTTGAAGAGGTCCCAGAACGAATCCAAACCACACAGCCATAAAATAAAGTTCACCCGAACTCCTTAAACCACCAAATGGTAGAATTAACCCTAGACACCCATAAATAGGAATAAATAATAGCATGAAAAGAAGCAAAATGGTCGTTTTTTTAACACTAAGCTTAATAAAATATGGAAATAATAAAGTTGAGATTAAAGCGGAAATCGGAGCTATCAATGTTAAGGTAATCAAACCCGGTGTCTTTATATTCAAAGTAGTCTTAGCGAAAAGCAAAGCTACTGATAATATAGTGGTGCAGCTGTCTGATACGAGAATCCAAACAATCAAAAATCGAAAAGTCATTTCCAACTTTTTAACTTGTAAAATTGTTTTCCATAACCTTCTCCAAGAGAATGTCACGTAATTTATCCATCTTATTTTACTTTCTTCATTAAGAAATAAAGGAGGACCCGGCCTAGGTTGTAGCCATTTACTGACAAATAAAGAAAATAAAAACCACCAAATTCCAGAAAGAAAGACCCCAATTTGTAGACTATAAATGGTAGAACGTAATAAAAATGAAATAAGCAAACAAATAATTAAAAGGATTATACCACCAAAGTATCCACTCGCAAAACCACGTGCAGATATATGAGCCGATATACGATCTTTAGTTTTTAATAAATTTTCTTTAAGATTAATTAATATTGGATCTTTTGAACTCAAAAGACTTCGATCCTCTAAAGTACTTTCATCATCTTCGATTTGTGTATCATGTTCATGCGTTTTATTTTTATCTATTATATAGTTTTTTATTTCATTTGAAATTTTTCTTACATCACTATGATTTCTAACTATAACTGGTAAAAACCCGTTAAAGCAAACAAAAGCTGCACCAAAACTTACGTTTCCAATAATAGTTAAAATACCAGCTATTATATATGAGCCAGAAGGAATCAATAAAAATAACATTGCTGATATACTTCCAACAAAGGCAAAATTCAGAAGCAACGTTTTGCGCATTGCCCCATGATCTGCTGTCGCTCCAATTGAAATTGTCGTAATTGCTTGCAATATTACGCTTAATGAAAATGTATATAAACTGAACGATGCCGTATCAATCCAAAATCCAAATATATTTACTACACATCGTAATCCTTCTTTAGCAGTTTTACAAGGCGTTCGATCAATGCTAGTTACACCCTTCTCTGAAGCAAAGTGTTCTAAAATTAAAGGTATAAAACTTGATATTGAAACTACAGAATAAACCTCACAGGCAAATGCGTAAAGATACCATGCAAATAATTCTTTTTTTGTTAAAATAGGTTCCTGATTTTCGTTTATTTTAAGCTGTTCGATTGTAGTTTTATTCGGAAGAGTTGTGCTTGAATTGTTAATCGCAACGTTGGGATTTATTTCTATGTCAAATTCATCCATATCGAATTTAATTGAATTAATTTGAAATTGGCAAGTTTCTTATATTTATGTAACACATAATGCGGTGTTACAGTACGTAGCCAATTATCGTTATTTTATAATCTAACAAAGTGGAACATTAACTGCCAATCCTCCTTGGCTTGTTTCTTTATATTTTGTTTGCATATCTATACCAGTTTGACGCATTGTTTCAATTACTTGATCGAGTGTAACTTTTGCGACCGATCTGCTCCTTAATGCAAGCTGAGCAGCTCCTAGTGCTTTTATCCCACCTAATGCATTTCGCTCAATACACGGTATCTGTACTAACCCATCAATCGGATCGCAGGTTAATCCGAGATTGTGTTCCATACCGATTTCTGCGGCATCTTCAATCTGTTCTAGGGTGCCTCCCTATATGAAAAAAATTTTTTTTTTTAGGATATATTTATTTGTTTAGATAGATGTTTTAAACATACCATTACTGCGGCAAACGCTGCTGCCGCCATGCTACAAGCTGTATAAGTACTGAACATTAATAAATATTGTTAAATGTAAACACATTAATCGTTAGGTATTACATACCAACACCGATTTCTCCTTGACAACCCATCTTTCGTTTTAATATACAAAAATTGTTTTAATACATAAATTTGACATTCACGTCTAAAAACTTATTTATTACCTCTGCTGCGCTAATGCTAGCTCTTTTTTTATAAAGCATGCCAATAGCGGCACTTGTAAATAAAAAATCCATAATTTCTTTTTCAGAACTTTGCTCTGATATGAATTCCAGATAATATTTAAGAACAGCAGGAATAACGCCACTTGCCCCATTAGTAGGAGCTGTAACAACTTTACCACCTGCTGCATTTTCTTCATTTACAGCAATAGCATAAACCGAAATAACATCTAAAACGTTTACTGTTATTGACTTTCTAGTGGCCGCTGCTAAAGGTTGTAATAATGAATTTTTTATTGCAGTATAATTTGATGAGTTTTGAGGATACATGTCTTTTAAAAGCTTATTGTATAATCCTGGTGCCCTTCTACGAACTTTTAAAGAACCCGGCAAATATTCTACTGTGCTTAGACATCCGTTTCGTATACTTTGATCCATTATATTCCATATCTCCATTACCTAATTAATAGAATTATGATTAAATAGTATCTTAAATTAATTTACAATTATTGCTAATAAAATACCTTTTTTTTTATTTCTCCTTTACTGCGCCACTGCAATTCGTTCTGATAGACCATTTGAGCAATGGTCATGTTCTCCCGTTTACAAATTTGTAAAAGTTCTCCGGCAGTACTGAATGGAAATGCGGAAGACATAGCATTTTGTTTTTGTTTAATAAGATCATTATTATTTTTGCGAAAAATATTTTTCCTATTTTCATGGATTTCGGTTTCACCAATAATAAATCCTCCGCCAGTTGAAAAAAATTCACTGGAGGCTACACAATCTCCTTGTTCATCGAAAGCAATAAATCGCATACCATTAGGATGTATAGGTAAAGATTCATGATAATGAAAAATAATGTGTTTTTCTGGAATAAATTTAATAGGATTCATTCCATCTAATTTGAGAATGTCTTGATTCCATAACAATAATCAGACTAAAGTGATTAATTAGATCAATAAAATTAAAAATCATTAGCGTTATAAATTTAACCTGTTTCGTATATTTGTGCAATCCGTGGTACTATTTTTGCCGTATCTATCTCATCTGGAGTCTCTCCTTCCAATCCCATTAAAATTGCATTAGGGGTACCATGGCCTTTGCCAGTTAGAGCAAGTGATCCATATAGATCAATACGAATTCTTGTAATCTAGTTAAACAAATTCACTTATTAAGTATTAAGTAAATATGGAAAATGTTCTTTACCTTACCTTATGAAATACATTATTTTGTTTTAGTTCTTCTATAAATTTCTTGGCAGCTCGCATTGGACCGACGGTATGACTATTTAAAATTTGACCCAAATTTATGAATGATATTTTGGATATTATAGTGTGACCGTTACAAACCTTGAGGATGGACCAATACCAATACTAAAGAGATCAAATGTACTAATAACAGCATCATTCTCGTTGGTATTGGAAACTTTCGATGCAGAGAGAGAATTAAATTCAACCTTAGAGCTATATGAATTATATGTTCTAAAATTTGTTGCTTCTCGAACAGTTTGTTCAAAGTTAAATATTTTTCTCGTAAAAAATTGATGTCGTCGTTGCCCAATATGAGAGACAAGACCAATTCTTAATGTATTATGTGTTATATTAAGAAATTGTAAAATTCTCATTTTTGTTCAACTAAAAAACGTAATAATTATCTTTACATGATCGGCACAGTTTATATAATCTATCATGACGGTTTTATTTATGTAATACATAATAAATAGTATAAATACGGCGGTTCGTAAAAAAAAAAAAAAAAAAAATTCTTGTTCTTCGAAAATGAATGTATGTGAAGAAAATGGTTTTGATCGAATAGTACAATAACTTATTTGATTAATCAAATATTTACCTTCATAGCCGGTATTAAAAAGTAAACTTCCATTAATGTGTCAAACTCTTTTTGAAGCTAAAGCTGCAAAAAAATTAACGTGAGTTATTCTTTTTTTTTTACGTTTCATATTATCATTATATTTATCAATTTAATTATTTATCATTAGATTTGCGGATATTGGCAAAAAGATTAACAAAGATGAAGTTTGGGTTGCAGCAGTTTTTTATGGACAGGTTTAATAAAATTTTATTATAAATGAACAGTTGTGTAATTTTTTTTGTAGCCTTTTTTTTTTTAAAAAAAAAAAAAATTATTTTAAGGCTAAACCTGATGAATCGGATCTAAAGGAACTAAGCATTGTGTTGGATATTAGAGAAAATTATTTGATTAATGATTTTGGGACTAAAACTTATTTCCCCGATCGTGGAGGGTAATTCATTACTTGTGTAATTTGTTCTCTAAAAGCGAGAAGATTCATGAAAGGAACTTTATTAATTTCTTTTAATTTTCATCAAGATTATTTCAAATGCCACCAACTGATCCTGTTATTTATCGGTTCTATGAAATATTGCAGGTGAAGTTAAACTATAATGTTAATTGGTAATAAATAAATGATTAATGTCTTAATAATTGATTTCTTAATGTTTTAGGTGTATGGATATCCACTTAAGGCAGTGATTCATGAAAAGGTAAAATCATCGAACTGAAATTAATAATAAATTTAAAAATTTTGTTGTATTTATCAGTTTACATGAAATCAAATCGCTTATTGATCAATTTAATAGTTTGGTGATGGGATTATGTCTGCAATTGATTTTACCGCAAAAGTTGACAAGGTATTTGTTTATTATTTAATTATTTTATATGTATTTAATGATTCATGTTAATATTTCGAAATATACAGATTAAGAAAGAAGACCATGAAAAAGTTAAAATAACATTTGAAGGTAAGTTTTTGCCATACAGAAAATGGTAGATGTAAAGTGTTGTTATAATTGTTATGATTTCATCTATTTTTAATAAAATGGTCAAAAATGATCGATGTCATCTTAAACGCATGTGCAAATATCACGGGATGTACTGTAATTCTTATCTGCCAATAAGATGCTGTAAATTTGTAATATACGAAATCAATATATTTTTTTTCTTTTACTACTTTAACTGTTAAAAATTCCGATTTGTTATTATTGAAACCGAAAAAAAGAAATTTGACAAATGGCTGACCTTAATACACTTGCAAGCCAATTCGTTCAATATTATTACCAAGTGTTTCAATCCGACAGAAGTAATCTTAAGCCACTTTATGTGAGTACTTTAGTAGAAGTTTAGATTTCGTGCTTTTTATTACGTGCAAATTTAATTTATGCCCGGCTTAATTAACTAAATTTATTTGTTTATTTTTCGCGTAAAATATTTGATAATTCCATATCAGCGTGACGATTCTATGCTAACTTTCGAAGGTGCTCCATTTAAAGGAGTGAATGATATTATCGGAAAATTGACTGTATATATATTACATATTTTTTTTTGATTATTATATTTTTAAAATTTTCTGAAATAATTTCATTTTTGTTAGTCTTTGCCATTTCAGCAAGTGGCACACCGTATTGCTACTTTAGATGCTCAGCCAAGTATTAATAATGGAATAATTGTGATGGTCACTGGCGAATTGCTGGTAAATTATCCAAATTATTGCAAATTTATTGGATTTTAACCTACTCTTATTTCAAACTAAACACGTCAAATCTAAATTTTACCAAAGATTGACCAGGAAACCAACGCAACAAGATTTTCACAAGCTTTTCAACTTATTCCCGATAGTGGTAACTATTGGGTACTTAATGATGTTTTCCGGTTAAACTATGGTTAATATTTTATATTTTATTCCCAAAACAATGTTAATGTTGAAGATTTATTGTACATTTATGATATAAACTTGAAATAAGAAATTCCTTATTAACATTGTATTCAACCAAATAATTAATTTATTGTCCTTTTATCATATCAAAAATTATTCAATAATAAATATCATTACTGCATTTCTATTGCAATTCAAAATTTTTTTATTATACACGACACTACAAAAAATGTTAAAAATACAACAATTTGATTGATCATATTTGCCTCTCAAATCCCGATCGTTAATTCATAGTAACAACATGTTTGCAGATAGAAAAAATATATATAATTTATATATGAATTCAAAATAAAAAAAAAGGTAATTAAACTGTGATTACGCGTCGACATTAGATAAGGTACAATCTCTTTTGATATGCCCTTCCTATGCACATACATATGTGTAATTATAACGATTCAATAAAATTAACATTTTATATACTAAATAAACATTTCATATATTAAAATAAAAATGCATCATACCTGTTTACAATTATAGCAAACTTTAGAATCTGGTGGTAAATCACAATCTCTACTTTGATGACCGGGAAGACCACAATTATAGCATTTTGGTTCCTTATCACAATCTCTAAAAAAATGATATTATATATAAATTTGTTATGGTAACCGCAATGTGTGGTTAAATAATTTAAATAAATTCAATTTACCGTTGAAGATGTCCATGTTCTACAAGTTCATAAAGTCCAGTAAACAATTAATAATCATATTAAGTGGAAAACGCGTGAAATATTTGAAAATTGAAATATATCTTACCGCCACAACTATAGCATTTCTTGCTATTACTACTATTACTATTACAATTTTTAGCCAAATGTCCAGTTTTACCACAATTATAGCTTAAAGAATTTCAAATATTAAAATATGTAAACGGAAAAAATAAACAGTAACAAGAAATGAAAATTTTCAAATTTATACCATTTTGCACCACCTCCTGATCGCGAACAATTACGAGACAAGTGGCCAGTCTAGAATGTAATATAATTAAAATTAAAATTTAGAACTCAATAGACACAATTTTTATTTTATTAAATAAAATAAATACCTTTCCACACTAAAGGAACAAGATTTTTTTTTTAAAAAAATTAAAATTAATTCATCAAGGATAGGATATATAGTTAAAAATTTAAAGTAATACTACATGCCGTATAACATGCTTGCGAAGATCCATATTCATTATCAGTATTATCATCATCGCAATCCTTGGCAAAATGCCCATAATTTCCACATTTAAAACTGTAAACATAATTATTAAAAATTTATCGTCTAGTTACTTAGAAATATAAGAAAGTAAGAAGGAAAGAAAAAACAAATAAATGTATATATTTTTACCATTTCCCACGGCTTCCATAGTCACCTCCGTTACCATAATCTGTACAATCACGCGCAAAATGACCTACTTGTCCACATTTATGGCATCTTCCACCGCTTCCACTATTAGGGCAATCGCGTGATAAATGACCGTGCTATAAAATTAACGTTTAACAAAATTATAATTCAATTTGATGTTAAGGATTTATTATTGATATTGATTATTTTAAACAACCTGTCCGCACTAATGATAAATAAAATAAGTAATATTTACATATTAGAAAAATGCATGTTATAAATTAGGCAAAAAGTTTCAAGAATTTACGTACAGTATAACACGATCCTTTAGATCCATATCCTGAATTATATTTATCATCGTTATCTTGATCTGCATCACAGTTTCTAGCTATATGACCTTGCTATAATATTATTAAGTTAATGATATGAATTACATAAGACCACTTATAGAAATTTCGTTGTAAAAATTCATACTTTGCCACACTATTATAATTAAAATATTAATTAGTTAAAGTCAAGTGAAACAAGTAAACGAATAAAGTAAAAGATCACCTTGTAACACTCGCCCGAGTTCGAATCTGAACGACATTCACGAGACTTCATTAGGAATGAAAATTTTTGTAAGTTATCAAATTTTATTAAATTGCACGATTGAATATACTTTAAGTATACTAACCAAATGGCCAGGTTTACCACATGTATAGCACGTTTTCTCTCTATTTTCTTTGGGTTGTTCATCACAATTACGGCTTAAATCATTCCAGTTCAATTAATATTCAGTTAAATTGCGTTCAGAAATCATTACATGCCGTACCTAATATGCCCTTCTTTTCTATTATTTAAAGTCGCGTTAATGCAAAAGTCTTTTTTAAAAAAGATTTAATAAAATAAAAATACTTACCCGCATTTATAACTGTAAGTGCGAAGAATAATTAATTTAAACGATCAAAATTTTTAGATATTATAAATTAAGATAATGAGTGCACTTACCAGCCGTCGTTGGTATTGTGACAATCTCGAGCAAAGTGATCGCCTACAAGAAAACACGAAGACTGTAAGCTTGCATCAATAAAAATATTATTAAAAAATATACATATATTTACCACCGCATTTATAACAGCCACTACTGCTACGACCACTTTGATATACCATTATCGTTATTGGTTCAACAAATGGAAGAAAAGGATAATCTTTCGAATACCTGATAAAAATGTCATAAATATCTAGTGTTTTTTTCATGATTTTAGCCAGCTTTATGCGGATTTATTCGCACGCATATGCATACAAATGATACATGAACAGTGACCTTGTTTGACTAACCAGACAAAAAGAGTTTAGAGAGTTTAGACACATGATACAGATTACGGATTTTATATCGGAGAATTAATATTTACCTTAAAAAATTTTATAACATATAACAAAAAGTTTCTTCAAAAGTGAACAAGTTTAATTTTTTGATCTGTTCAATTACGAAACCATGACTGAAGAAAAACAGCTCATTTTAGACACTAAAACCTTTCATAAACGCGCACGCATTTTACAAACCATTTGGAAGGTACGTGTGTATTTGAAAAATACTTGGTGCAGTTCCTCTTTTAGTTTGCGCTCTGCTTTTTTCTTGATTCACGAAAACAAACGTGTATCACAGTGTAATTTTTAATACTTGCTTAAAAAAACGCGCGAAAGTTTGATCAGGGTTGAATTTTGTTTCTAACTTAGGAATCGTTGAGTAAAAGTAAAGATGCAAGTGACGAATTCCAAGGCGCTGAAACCATACTTATTATTGTCGGTGATCTTCTAGAAGAATATCCATATCAAAAATCTACGGCGATTCAGGTTTGTAAATAACAAAATTTTTTCCTGCTAAAACGTTCCATTAAACAAAATTTCTTTATTTATTTTACATTGATAAAAGACATGGCTATTAGGTTATGAATGGAGAGATACATTAATCTTATTGACACAAGATAAATTCCACTTCGTTGCTAAGGAAAAAATGGGTAATAAGTTGTTATATATATATATATATATTATGTTCTTTATTGGTTAATTTACTAAATTTTTTTCGAATTTATTATAGCCGAAGTTTTGGAGCAATTAAATCAAGGCGACAAACAAGTATCTGTTGAAATTCATAAGTATACAAAGGATCAATCACAACACAGAGATCTTTTTGAATCTATTATCACTTATATAACCGAAGGAGAAAAGGTATTACATTGTTACCTCTATTATTAGGTACTGTAGAGATAATGTAATCACATTTTTTTCTTCACTAGAAACGTCTTGGAATATTGCCAAAAGATTTGAAGGAAGGCAATTTTGTGCAAGAATGGTCGGAAGTATATAAAAATTTCAAAGATAAAATTGAAGAAGTTGATGTTAGTGCAGGAGTCGCATCGGTTTTAGCTGTTAAGGATGAAGAAGAATTGGTATGTCAAATTGCAATTTTTAGTTCATAGTGGTGTTTATTGGGATGGTTTGGATCGGATTAGATTAGGGATATGTATTTAAACAATTTGTTACAATAATCCGAATATGAATATGATATTTAAACATGTGTGGTTTCTCTAATATGATTAAAAAAAGTCGAATGAACTTGTAAAGATATATAATAACCATAATATTCAATATTAGAAAACGGTCCGAGTTGCTGGCAAGCTTAGTTCTTTGATAATGCAACATTTCATTGGAGTCGTGACTTCCCTCGTTGATGAAGAAAAACAAGTCACTCATGAAAAATTATCTGAAGATATCGATAATATATTAACAAGCGATCAAAATACTTTCCTTAAAAAAGGAGTTCAAGATGTGTGTATTTTTTTTTTCTAAAAAAATTTCACAATTTTTTATTCATGATAATTATATTATTTCTTACATTATTAACACCAGGTTGATCTCTCACGAGCGGATTTTTGTTATACTCCAATAATTCAAAGCGGTGGTATATATGATTTTAAATCTTCGGCTGAATCTGATAACAGAACGTTACATGCCGGAACTATTCTTTGTTCATTTGGTGTTCGTTACAAATCATATTGTTCGAACATCGGTAGAACTATTTTGTTCGACCCAACTAAGGTATGCGATACTTGCATCTTCAAAAATAATTGTAATTGCTCTATAACTAACCGTTTCTCATTTTAGGAACAAGAAAGGAATTATGAGATTCTGTTGGAGTTACAGCGGCGTATTGTTGAACATATAAAAAGTGGAGTAAAACTTCGTGATGTTTACGTGAAAGCCATAAATTTTGTTAAAAATAAGAAACCTGAACTTGTTTCACATTTTGTAAAGAGCCTCGGCCATGGGGTAAGAATTTTTTTTTTTTTTTTTTTCTTTTCTTTTTGATTGTTTTTAATAATATTAAACAATTTTTATTTCATTTATTTTTTAGATGGGAATCGAATTTAGAGAATCCGCATATTCTATTAATGCTAAAAGTACAAAAGAATTCAAGGCTGGAATGGTTTTTAATTTATCCGTCGGGTTTCAAAATTTAGAAAACTCAAAGGCTACAGACGAAGAAAGCAAAATGTAATTTTATTTATTTTAGCTATTATATTTTCTTTTATCGGTTTAGAGATTAATCATTATTGTCTCCTAAAATTTTTTGGTTGACAGTTATTCACTTTGGATAATAGATACTATTAGGGTATCTAATAACGAACCAGCTCCGTTATTAACGGAAGGCAATCGGAAGTTAAATAATATGGCTTTTTCCTTTCAGGTAACTTTACCTATATACTGATCAAGTGCAGAATAATTTTTTTTTCATTAAATTAACAATGTTTCGTTATATAGGATGGACCCGAAAGTGGCTCTGAAGCAAAGAAAGAAAATAAACGTCCTGCTCAAAAAGTTGAAACCAAGAGAACTGCTATGAGGAAATCTACTGTCTTGAAAAGTAAATTCAGAAGTGAAGATAAGGTAGGACTATTTGTATTAATCATTGTAATGTTTTTTTTTTTTACCTAATTATGATATCAATTTATTCATGTTTTGCAGGACGAGGATTCCGAGCAAAAACGGAAGGAGCACCAGGCGGAATTAGCTAAACAGAAACAGGCAGAAGGATTGGCACGATTTGGATATGGTGTAGATCATCAGACAAGTCAAAGGGAAGCCACTTTTAGGAAATTCGAAAGTTATAAAAGAGATACGGCTCTACCAAAGGAGGTCAAGGAATTAAAGGTATAAAAATAAATAATTGTTAATTTTAAATTATGCTCATAGATTAACAAACATCTATTATAGATAGTTGTAGATCAAAGAAACGAAACGATTATTCTTCCAGTGTTCGGACTAGCTGTTCCTTTTCATATTTCTACTTTGAAGAATGTAAATAAGACTGATGAGGGCGAGTACACTTATTTGCGAATAAATTTCCTAACACCAGGACAAGCTTCTGGCAAAAAGGAAGATATGGTAGATATCAATTACTATTAAAATAAGAACAATCTTATGTTCAACCTTCACCTATCAATTTACATTTTCTTTTTATTATTAAGCCTTTTGACGATCCAAATGCAAACTTTGTACGTGCCGTTACCTATCGAAGTATAGATGAGAATTTGTCGGAAATTTATAGGAAGATAGTTGAACTTAAAAAGACCGCTGCAAAAAAGTGAGGGTTAATTTACATTTACTAATTTATCGATATATTTTAGTATAATTAATTAATTAATTTAATTCATGATCAGAGAAGCCGAGCGGAAAGAAATGTCGGATTTAGTTGAACAGGACAAACTAATCGAGCTAAGAGGTATTGTATTTATAATCTGTTTATTATAATAATGTTCTAATACATTTACTGAATTTTCCATTTAGGTCGAAGACCAACGCATCGTTTATCAGAAGTATTCGTTCGTCCAGGTTTGGACGGGAAACGTATACCTGGTGAATTAGAAATTCACGAAAATGGTTTACGTTATCAATCACATCGAACTAATCAAAAGCTAGGTTAATACTTTAAAGAAAGGTTCTACTTTATGTATATATATATATAAAACTAACCTTTATAACTATAATTCTATGAATTAAATCTAGATATTTTATTCAGCAACATTCAACACTTATTCTTCCAGCCATGTGATAATGAACTAATTGTATTATTACATATACATCTTAAGAATCCGGTCATACATGGGAAGAAAAAAACCAAGGTTCATCATTGTTATTTATATTAGTTTATATATATATATCTTTCCTTAATATAAAAGATTCATTATTTTTAATCTATCACTAATAATTAATATTTAAAAAATAGGATATTCAATTTTATCGTGAAGCGTCTGATGTACAATTTGATGAAACAGGAAATAGAAAAAGAAAATATCGTTATGGAGATGAAGATGAACTTGGTGCTGAACAAGAAGAAAGAAGAAGGCGAGCTTTATTGAATAAAGAATTTAAATCCTTTGCAGAAAAAATTGCAGAATCAGTAAATATTAATAATTATTCTTTTAATCCTTGTTTATTCATTATCATATTTTTTTTTTATAATTAATTTTCGAATAATTTTAAGAGTGAAGGTCGAGTAGACGTTGACATTCCCTTTAGGGAAATAGCCTTTCAAGGAGTTCCTTTCCGTACCAATGTGTTATTACAGCCTACGACAGAATGTCTCGTTCATTTGACAGATCCTCCATTTTTAGTAATTACAATAGCTGATGTTGAAATAGCTCATTTAGAACGTGTTCAGGTAAATATTACGATAAAATGTTGCTAGTATCGAAATTTTTTTTAAATAATTATTTTTTTCATATATTACTAGTTTGGATTGAAAAACTTTGATTTAGTTTTTATTTTTAAAGACTACTCACGGGCGCCAGTTCATATTAACACAATCCCTATGAATCAGTTGGAAAATGTTAAAGATTGGCTTGAGTAAGTAGGCAATATAGAGTCTTAATTACATTATTATCGCTTGACTGATAGATTTGTGTAAAATTATATAGTCATGTAGATTTGGTTTTCTATGAAGGACCACAAAATTTAAATTGGACACAAATTATGAGAACTATTCAAAAAGATCCAGCAGATTTTTATCAGGATGGAGGCTGGTCTTTCTTAAATATGCATGGAGAGGTAAACTACTAATTTGTACAAAATAAAAAAAGGAGATTTTCCCCCTGTTAATAGTTTCTAATTCAATTGATTATCTATTTAGGGTGATGATTCGGATGCTTCTACTGAAACTGCAAGTGAATATGTTCTCAGTGAAAGTGCATATAGTGAATCGAGCGTAAGTATTATTAGTAATAAAGTCAATTCCTTAATTTGTTTTGTCACGAATTTAAACTTTAATTGATTCTTTTAGAGCGATGAAAGTAGTGATCAAAATGAGGTTTCTGAATCAGCCGGATCTTCCGAAGAAGAGAGTGATGAGAGTGGCGAAAGTTGGGATGAGCTTGAAGAAAAAGCGCGTAAAGGTAAGTATTAAATATAATTGGTTAGTTATGTGAATATATAATTAATAAACAGAACTTTTATTTTTCATAGCTGATGAACGAAAAGAAGTAGGAGGAGGTACTTCTAAACGTAAAGAAACACCCGATGACACGCGTGGCAAAAATAAAAAAATTCGTCGTTAAATAGTTTTGTTGTTATTATTAATGACTTTTTGGTGAAGCTTTATCTTAAAAAAAGAAATTAATAAAATTCGGACGTTCCGTATTAAACAAGATAAATAAACCATTAAAATCATTAAAATATAATTCAATTTTTTCGATGATCAATAACAATCAACCGCAGTATTAATGTAAATATTTCGTGATAAAAATAAAGTATGATAATGCGTATTAGAATTTATTTTTTCTTTGTCCGACCATAAAAAAAAAAAAAAAAAA